CCCTCCAAGATGGGTGTTACACACAGCCCACCCGTGCCCGCCCACCCCTCACCGTCCCCTCCAAGATGGGTGTTACACACAGCCCACCCGTGCCCACGCACGGTGCATCGTCCAGACCAAGATGGGTGATTTAGCAGGATGGTAAAGCTGATGGACCTCAGAGATGGCAGAATCGATGCCGCTACTTTCTAGGTGGAAAACTGAGGACAAGGTCAGATGCCTCCATGGCAATAAGGGGCTGAGCTGGGGCCACTTGCTCGGCCCATGTCACCCCACACCATGCAATCTCAAATCCTGCAGAGAGCCATCACCTACAGGTACCCAGAAGGCAGAACACATGAGCACACCTCTCCTGCCACAGCAGTCAGGCCTCAGCGCTATCCCAGGACAGTGCTGCCTGCCCTACTCCCACAGCAAGCCATTCTCATTTTCCCAATACGCTAGAGACTAACACTGAAAGGGCAGTATCTGACCCACCAGCCACTGCACAGAATGAGGTGACAGCCTGGTTCCACTAACACCACACCCTTGGAAATGCTGAGGCAGCTGTACTTTGTCCTGTAGGGCTCTGCAAGCTGTGACTGGCTTGACGTAACAAGTTTGGTTGGGGTTTGTTTCATCACTCCTCAGAGATCAACTGGCTTTATTCCCACTCTCTCTCCTTCCCTTTTCAATTTTCTATATTTCTTTGGATGCAGGCAGGGGTAGGGGCCTAGGTCATAGAGGGACGCTAACTGAAGCACGCTCCTCGTGCCTCAGATCTGCACCCACTTCCCTGTCACCCACACAGCAGCCATGACGTCAGAGCCCTCAGAGGCGCCAGTGGCCCAGGTGGTTTAGCCACCTCAGAACATGACACTGACTTCTCCAGCAAGAGGACAGGACCAAACAGGAAGATACCCAAGTGGACACCCATGTCCAGATGAGCCCAAGTGGGAAGAAAATTGGGGGCAGGAGTTCTGAAGACAGATGGAGACACATCCTCCCTGTGGTAGTCGAGGTTGTTGTCAACTTGGCTGTGCCTGGTTTTGAGTGGCTGGGCAGCTGGATGCAGTTATTCCCCACGATGAAAGTGGTAATCAGCTCCATGGTAGAGTCTGCTATGAGCAGCTGAGTAGCTGCCTTTGGGATGTGGTCTGTTCCCAGTATAAAAGAAATAGCTTTGAAAGCAGTCTCTAGCTTTTTGGCACGCTTGGACCCTGCATGTAGCCAAGTTTTCATTCAGCAGCCTGCCATGTTGCCTGCCAATCTTGGAACTGTTCTGGATTTGACCTAGTGGCTTGATGTGTTGACTGATAATCTTGGGACTGTGCCATTTTACTTGTCAATTTTGGGTCTGTAAACCTCAGCAGCCAGCAGCTGCCTGAGTTAAGAGATGCTTCCAGCTCCAGTGGGCCAGGAGCAAGAGGCAGAGCTGAAGCCCAAGGTCGAGGGGCCTTCACCCAGCCCCTAGAGCTGCCACTCTGAACTCAGATTTCTATCCTCCTAAACTGTAAGCAAATAAATCCCCATTTGTTAAAGCCAACCACTTGTGGCATATCTGTTACAGTAGCACTAGAGAACTAACACAAGAGATCAGTGGGCGAGAGCAGCCTGGTTCCTCAGTCAGCCACAAGGCTTCCTCAGGTCCAGAAAGCCTGAGGTTCAAATGCCCTCTCTGCAACCAATGTGAGCAGCAGGTGACTCTCACTTCTGAGTCACAGCGACTGAAGGAAAGGATACGTGGTGTGCCCTCGGTCCGGCAGACCAGGTAGAGGCAGGCAGCGATCACATGGGCCATCTTCCGGCCCCGCGTCAAGTGCTTGCTCACGGCCATCTTGAAGAAGTTGAAGGCCGTGTCAAGGCAATGCTGGTTCAGCTGCAGCTGGTTCCCCAGGTGATGGATCTGCCGCTTCCCTGCACAGGGAGACACAACAGCACACTCGTGGTAAATGATGCACAGAGACCTAAAGGGAATCAGGAGAGTGAGGTCTGACCCAGTGTGAACACCAGGACACAGAGATTACCAAAAGGAGCCCAACGGCCCCTGTGTAGAAGAACTAGATGTACCTGGTACCATTACCGAACAGCTCGATACAAGTCTACAGCAGAATCCTGGTCAAAAGGGAGAAAATGCAAAACAGGACTTCAAGTTCTTGTAGACTCCAGACTTTCTGGAGCCATAAAGGCAGGATGAACCCCTGAAACTACTACTCTGAGATCATCTTTAAACCTTAAACCCAAAATGCTTCCCCTGAAGTCTTAAAATCAAACAAGAGTTGAGCTTACCTAGTGAAGAAGGTCTGCCTTGAGCGCTGGACTCGTTTAAGACCTGTCTCTATGGGGTCAGACTGACCACAGCAACTCGAAGGATTAGACAGGAAACTGAGGGGCAGTGAGCTTATGCTAATAAGTAAGAAAAACTTAGAAAAATTGGGTGACATCGGTTGTACAACTCAAAGAATGTAATCTATGTCAATGAACTGTAGAAATTGTTGTAGGAATTCTGAACTGGTGTATGTTTCTGCTTTGTATGTTCTCAACAAGAACAGAAATTAAAAAGAAAGAAACTGAACAAAAATTCTGGAGCTGCAAAGGACAAAAGCTGCAATTAAAAAGAAAATCACAACAGAGGTGCAACAGCACATTAGAACAAGCAGAAGGAAGAACTGGTGAACTTGAAGACAGCGCAATTCCCACTACCTGGTCTGAAGAGCAGAAAAAAAACAAAATGAGAAAAAACAGACAAAACCCAAGGGTTCTAAGGGACACCATCAAAAAGGCCAGCATACGTATTACGGGAGTCCCAGAAGAAAAGAGGTAAAATACTTGAAGAAATAATGGCTGAGAACTTCCCAGATTTGACAAAATACATGGATCTACATCTGTCTCCTGGATTGAATTGTGTCCTCCAAAACCACGTGCCAACGTGGCTGGGCCACGACTCCCTGTGGTCTGGCAGCCACGCAGTGATGTAATTTGGCAGTTATATAATGATGCCATCATCTGTCATCATGTGATCTGATGTGACCAGTCAATCAGTTGTAAGAGGGTCGGGATGAGATTCAACACCCTTCCTCAGGTAACAGCCCTGATCTGACGTACATGGAGCTTCTCTGGGCTGTGGCCTACATCACTCTTTATCTTCCAGAGATAAAAGAAGAAAGAAAGAGGCAGAGAGGGGGGACCTGACTACTACCAAGAGCAAAGAGTCAAGAGCACAGCATGTCCTTTGAACCAGGGGGCCCTGTGCTGAGAATCTCCTATGACTCAGGGGAAAATGGATGCCAAGTCACATGGAGTTCTCCAAGGGATATCGGGCTCCTAGATATCGAAAGGAGACGAGGCACTTCCCCCAGAGCCAACAGAGAGAAAGCCTTCCCCCAGATATAGCATCTTGAATTCAGACTTCTAGCCTCCTGTCAGAGAATAACTTCTGCTTGTTCAAGCTGTCCACCTGTGGTCTCTTTATGCAGCACCAGTAACTGAGACAATATCCAAAATGTGCACACAATTCCAAGCAGGATAAACTCAAAGAGACTGACACTAAAACATTATAACCCAGCTGTCAAAAGTCGAAGACAAAGAGACTCGTGAAAGCGGCGAGAGAGAAGAGACTCTTCACATACAAGGGCGTCTCGGCAATTTAACAGTTGATTTTTCATCAGAAACCACGGAGGCCAGAATAGGGTGGAAATGCTAAAGAACAAAACTGTCAACCAAGAATTCTACATCATGAGCACAAGAACCTCCAGAACAGACCATAGGTTACGCCATAAATTAATTTTCAATAAATCATCGCCATGATACAAAGTATCTTCTCAAACTACAGGCTAGGAATCAAAAACAGAAGGAAAACTGGAAACTCCAAATCCGTGGAAATTAAACAACATAATCTTGAACAACCCATGGGTCAAGGAAGAAACCAACAGGGACATCAGAAAATATTTGACACTGATAAAACTTAAACACAACTAAAACCTATAGGCTAAGTGAAAGCAGTTCACAGAGGGAAAATTATAGCTGCCAATGCCTACATTACAAACAGGATCTTAAATCAACAACCTAATTGTACCCTTCAGGAAATTAGAAAAAGAAGAGAAACCAAAGCTGGCAGAAGAAACCAAACCAAGCAACACCCACTGCTGTGGAGTCCATTCCAACCCACAGCACCCCTAGAGGACAGAGTGGAACTGCACACAGGGTCTCCAAGGCTGTCAGTCTTCACAGAAGCCAAGCCCAAACCACACCCACTGCCTGGAGTCCATTCTGACCCACAGCGCCTCTAGAGGACAGAGTGGAACTGCCCACAGGGTCTCCAAGGCTGTCAGTCTTCACAGAAGCCAAGCCCAAACCACACCCATTGCCTGGAGTCCATTCTGACCCACAGCGCCCCTAGAGGACAAAGTGGAACTGTACACAGGGTCTCCAAGGCTGTCAATTGCCACAGAAGCAAAGCCCAAACCACACCCACTGCCGTGGAGTCCATTCTGACCCACAGCGCCCCTAGAAGACAGAGTGGAACTGCCCACGAGGTCTCCAAGGATGGCAGTTTTCACAGAAGCAAAGCCCAAACCACACCCACTGCCGTGGAGTCCATTCTGACCCACAGCGCCCCTAGAGGACAGAGTGGAACTGCCCA